TTCCCATGTCAACTAACAAAGGTCAGATGTATGGGATATGAATATGTCACACTTTTGGACCCCTAGTTTCTGGAATTACCCATTTCATAACTTGCCAACTTTGTAGTTCCCAAATTACTGCAAGAGTCGAATGGATGAAACAGTTGTACTATACATTTAGCCTGCTGAAAGAAATAATGTCACGTGCACTGTGCATCATGGAGTACGTTCAGGATTAGTTCTCTCATGGATTGTTTTCTGTGGAACCCACTCTGTGCATGACTATAAGAGACTCTAGAGCAACGCACATTTAGTCAGCACTGGTCAGACATTGGATTCCTCACCGAGTCGCACGTTAGTGATGTTTGTCATTTTTGAGACTTGGCAGCAGGACCCTTGCAGTTAATTTGTTGAGAATTCTTCACCTAGTCTAGCAACATCGATTTTAACTGGTACCTTGCATGCTGTGTTTACCAGTTAACGACGACAGTGACATCAACGTTGGTAGCGGCCAGGATGGAGCACAGGCGGATAATGGTATTTTTTTTTTTAAATTACAAAGCCATTTTTTTCAGTATGACTTGCTGCGCAAAAATAATAATGGCTCAACTGCAGCCCCCTTCCAAATATAGTTGGAATGGTCCACATCAAAGGAAAGCAAGGACTAATCCAGTATGGGTAGGGGTGGATGATTTATATCCATTTCATAGAGAGAAAATTAATGTTCCAAAGACGTTTCAGGAACTCACCTGTTATGCCTTGGATCCTTCTTTTCTCTACAATGTTGTGGACCAGTCCATCAAGGAAAGAAAGGGGTGTTTGATTTGATGCATTTCTTATTAATAGCAGGTTGTGTGTGCAGCCCCCTCAGCTCTGCCTTGCATAAAAACAGAAATCACCCCTTTTTTGCTGCTTCACATTCAATTCATCTTCAATTTTAGTTATCACCTTAAGGTCAAATTTTATCTTCATGGTTGTCACTGTCACAAAATCACATTTCATGGCTCTTTAAAAAGCGGGGAGAAAAAGGACCATGCAGTTGTAAAAAGAAAATGTCAACTATTTGATATTAGAAGTGCAAAAAGGGCAGCTGTTCTTCTGCAGTGTACACTCACCATAACTTTTCTGTGTCTTATACAGACTTGTAGTCGAGACCACTTAAGACCTTCACAAGACCACACAAGACAAACACAAGACCTCAAGTCTGAATTTAAGCCACAAGCTATTCAAATGAACTGCAATGAAAGTGTTCTTTTGTCATTGTTCAACCCATTATTTGTGACCGGTCTTGTGCATAGTCTTGTGTCTGGTCTTGTGTCTGGTCGTGTAATGGTCTCGACTACAGCACTGGTCTTATACGTGCATTTTAAAGTAAGGTATTGACAAGCCCGCACCCTAGCGCACCACACCACTCTGCAATGCCTACAAAGTGTGCAGTTGCATTACAGCAGATGTCAAATAAACTCTTTTTTTGAGTAGTGCAGATAATAGACTACAAGTTGTGCCTGCTTGCGTAGAAACACAGGGTGTCCGTTAAATGCTATTAAACAAAGAACTTTCATGAGAAAAGTTTGGTTCATTTGACATATCAGTGCCAGAAATTGTTGATTGAGACATATTTGCACAATTTAGTTCAAGGCCTATTCTACAAACGACTCATTTACAAAGGTTTATTGGACACCCTGTTAGTTTTGTTTCAACTAAATTCCAAACCTTATGCTTAGAAATGCATGGTGTCAATTTTCAAGTAGCAGTTTGTAAAATAGTATTTTGTCCACATAGAAGCTTGATTTTGTTCTGCTCGCCGTAGGCTTTTTAGTAATTAGAGGTGTGTGAGATTTCTGGTACACGAATACTTGTCAAATTGTTTCTCAAAGAATCATATTGCCACATTTGTGAGTGGTGTGATAGTTGTATTTTTAACAAATTTTTTTTTTGCATTTCTTGCTTGCAAATGAGTTTCGAAATTTTCAGCTTGTTTCCTACACACTCGTGTCAGTGTTGTACTCTTACTCACACTCGAGTATTTTTTCTCTACTCACACTCGTTCTTGTGAAAATGTACTCATACTCTCATCAAAGTACTCGTACTCATAGCCGTGGAAACGTTCTTGACTACAGCACTTTCTGGTGTCGTTTGTTTGAAGAAGAAAAAAATTGCATGTCATTTGCACCACATCTTTACAGATTTGCACGCGCACTCCATTGCATGCTAGCATGTGGTTTGCATGGATCGCTATTGGAGCACAGTCACTAAGCACTAAGTTTGTCTTTCATCCCCTTCTTTACTGTGATGATTCAAAGAGATCAGCCAAGCAATTTGAAGACAGATCAGAAGGTGGTGAAAAACAGATGCTGTCTATCGTAAATATATCTCAGCTGTTAAAGCATCCGAAGCAAAAGAACTTGGTGTGAAAAAAATGGAGTATTGTGTTCTGGAAATGACCTTCAGGCTGCTAGTACTACAGAATTTTTTTGAAAAAAACATTTTTTTTCCGCCAAAAATTGCATGCGGCAGTTCCTTTTCTGCAAAATGTTGATGCTTTGTTGTAGCACAGTAGATGAAAAACTGTTTGCTAACACCTCTCAGAAACTCGTTGTAACGAGTTTGGCATTGACAGCTGGGTTTTTTTGGTTTTCATTATTCATTCCACTTCATGTCATATATCCAGGGATATTCAGTTACAACATACCAGTTGGATTCAGTCATTTCAAAGACAAAGCTCATGATGTTTTTGACATTTACTTGAGCCTAAAGTTAAATTTGTCCACCAATGCACCATATATTTTTTGGCTCATTAAAAATCAGACATCTTGGCTTGTCTTTGGCTGCAGTATTTTAAACCCCAGCCTCTTAAAGTTTCACAAACAATTTTTGATTGTTTTAAACCACTGAAAAGATCTGGGAAAAGATCTCCTTTAATACACGTGATAGCAAGTGCCTCTTTGGAACAAATTGTCAAGACCATCTTGAGCCAAAATCAAAAGTAAAAACAAAAGTGTATGTATTTTTACCCTTTTTTTTTTCTTTCACTACTTCCAGGGGCACCTGTCTATGAGCCGGCATTCATTGGTAACTCCTTCATCGCTTATCCGGGTCTGCAGCAGTCATTGCGGCAGATCCAGATTGCGATGATGTTTAAGCCGCAGAATACCGATGAAGGAATCCTGATGTTCAACGGTCAGAATCCGCGAGGGAAGGGCGACTACATCGCCTTGATCATCAGGAATGGACGAGTGGTCTTCCAGTATGATAGTGGAACAGGTACGAGGATTGGGTAGGGTAGGGTAGGGTTGGGTTGGGTTAGGTTCACTTGGTTGGGTTCAGTGGGTTAGGTTGGGTTGGGTTGGGTTTGGTTGGGTACATGTAAACAAACACACAAGCCAAATTTCTGTGTCACAAATGTGTAACACTATATGCACTTAGTGTAGCATGGCCATTTACCAAAAATTATCATGGAGTGGCTGTATTTCTATGTATAGATGTGTGTGCTTTTCAGTCAGTATAATTTTCAGATCGGTTCTGCAATCTGTCCATCACCTGCAGTGAGTTTTTCTCTCTTGACCTCTGCCTTTGACCTCCACAGGCCCAGCCATCATCGAGAGTGCCCACAACCTGACCGCCGGCCAGTGGTACTCCCTGGTGGCAGAGCGCAACGGCCGGGAGGGCTCCTTGGTCATCGACACTGGCGAGGCCGTCAAGGGCCGGTCGCCGGGCAACAGCCGTGGTCTGAACCTGAAGATGCTGATGTACGTGGGCGGCGTGGATGAGATGTATGACCTCCCGCCTGACTTGATCGTCACCAAAGGCTTCCAGGGATGCATTGCAGAGGTGAGATCCCACTATCGCCATTTCCTCTTATCGCCGTGCAGCCATGATGCTTCTCCAAAATGCTGATTTTGTAGAATGGGGATCACTTCTTTTTCTTCACCTCTAGCCAGATTTTTCTTTGCCTAAGAACCTTTTGAAATCCATCATATCCTAGATTGAGATTGACGGCTCAAGTCTAGGCCTCATCAACGACGCCAAGGAGAACATCAATGTGGAAGAATGCGGGGAGGAGGAACTCTGCTCACGCAACCAGTGCAAGAACGGAGCCACCTGCACCAGCACACAGGACGAATATGTCTGCACGTGCACGGCCGACTACACTGGTAAAATAAACAATAAAAACTTGTTGATTCTTTCTAGTCTTGGAGCTGGTGGTTCAACAAACCGCACAGGGTTATTAGCATAAAAGTACCTTGACAAGATGAAAGATCAGGCATTTAAAGGTCTAATCCACTCATCAACCTGGGTAGGATTCAAACCCTAGTCTCAGGAGGAAGGCGAGGAACGTGCCACTGCCCCAGTCGGACACCCTGACAATTCTCAAACCACATGTTGGTCCGGGTGGTATTTGAACCTGGGTCACAGAGTTGCACCAACCTGACTCCCCAGAAGTTAGCAGAAGATGGTTACTTGCAGGGATTACAAGGCTCAATCCTAACGTGGATGTAGGTGGGATTCGAACCCGGCTCCCACCCAGTGGCAGGCAAGGAAAATGACTATCCAGCAAATGTGCAGGTCATTTCGAATGAGTCAGGTGGCGTTGTTTGTACATAGCAAGCCAATTATAGGGATGGTCTCATTATCGAGGGGTTCAGTAATGAATTTGAATTTGACTTTACCACTCGCACACTTTGCAGGTCGTCACTGTGACACCGAGGTGGGCCCGTGCCACGTGGACCAGCCTTGCCAGAACGGTGGAAGCTGCGACCCCATGGGTGGGGACGAATATCAGTGCCTGTGCCCCCAGGGCTTCGTTGGGGATCACTGTGAGATGGGTGAGTCGCACAAGTCAAAGTTCAAAGTTCAGCCTCGGTGCTTAATACATTATTTCTTCAAGGGTTTTACTTCTAAAAAACCCAGGAACACAAAATAGCCCCATTGTTGAAATTGCAGAGTTTCGACAGTGTGAGCAGAGGGGACAGAGGTCAGAGTTAATTGGCACTGTTAACTCTCTTTCTGTCTGGTCTGTTCTTTTTTTACTCATTTAGCGGAGACTTTTGACTACAGGGCAAGCTTCACCGGCAACAGCTACCTGAAGCTGCCCCGTAACCTCATTCCCAGGGAGAGAGGGTTTGTATAATAAACTACATTCTTCTAAAACTGTAACTTGTATTGGACCACTGTGGCAGACTCACAGTATTACTGAAACAGCACGGAAAATTTGTGGCTGAAGCCCCCCAAGACTCCCAACACTCAAAGTTACAAACAGGCCACTGTTTTGAGGGTTTTAAGTATACTTGGACACGTATTTTGTCTGATTTGTTACTTTAATATATATTGGATTCGTACCGTTAAAATCCACTTTAAAAAACTTCAGTCTCGCCTTAGAATTTGTAGAGCACAAGACATTAATTTCATCTCCTGAAACTTATTTAACATTTTCTTAAAAGTTGCAACACATTCTCTTCCTTTTTACTTATCCATTTCGAAGATAAATTCTTCTTTAAGTTCTACAGGTGACTTTCTCCTAAGAGATGAGTCTTTGCAAATGCTTATTTCTTACAGGAGCAGTACTTCCAGGGAGACAATTAATTTTGTCTTCTCCACCCTCTCCTCAAACGGCATCCTCCTATGGCAAGGAGTGGTACGTTCCATTTGCATAGTTTCAGGCAATAACAGGTGTGCTCGTGTTAAAGGGGCAGTGGTGGGAATTTGTTTTCAGCGTGCATTTCAACTGAACGATATTCTGTGCAGTTGTGAGATGAAAGAATGTGGTTCTGTAGCTTATCCTGTGGTCTGTCTTGCGAGTGTGTTTTAATTTCTGGTTAATAAGTTGTAAAGCCAGCTTCTTGAAAAACGCACTTTTCTCGTCTTCATGATTTTGAATAGGTGGAGGGCCACAGTGGAAATATGCAAGACTTCATCTCTCTGGGTCTAGACAATGGAACGCTAGTGTTTGGGTGAGTGACGACCAGCAGCTGGGGTATTTTTGTTGATCCAAGTGTCAACGCTGGATTGAAAGGTTTATCAGTGCATTTCTTGTCTCTTGGTTATTTTGACAGGTACCAGTTAGGTAGCGGAGAGGCCAGCATCAGGTCAAAGGTCAAGGTCAGCGATGGGCTCAAGCACAACGTGACGGCCCACCGGCGGGGCCGTGAGGGGTCACTCATTGTGGACGGGGAGGAAGTGTCGGGCCACTCGGCTGGTTTCCTGCAGATGCTGAATGTCAAGGGTCATCTGTATCTAGGTGAGAGGTCATGCACTGTGGGGTGTTTTCTGAGGCCCTGACTAAATTCAATTCAAGAAAACGTTTATTCCATACTCTTTTAAAAAACATTACATTTAATCAACCGGCTGTGGCTAGGGCTAACCTGGAAGTCTATGGGAAATGGCTGCAGCCACTTAGTACATGTAGTGGCTTCCATAGGTATATATGTTGTGTCCAGCCATAACCAAGTCATTCTGACATGGTTTCCCTCAATCGGGGCTTGAATATCAGAAGTGAAATGTTAAAAATCCCCAAGCAGTGTCTGCCTTGAGCAGAAGTTGGTTGAAAAGAGCCATGGTGGTGTGGAAAGTTCAATTTGTTGGTAAATTTTGCCCTCTCTCACTAAGGTGGAGCGCCGGATGCCCAAAAACTGACTGGCAAGAAGTACGTCAGCGGCGTGGAGGGCTGCATCGCCGACCTGCGCATTAGCAAGGAAGGTTACGCCGGGGTGACCCACGTTAACCTCTGGGACACACTGGTGGATGCAGTCAACGTCCTGGACTGCCCCAACTGATGTCACCTTGCCCCTTCGTTCACAGATTGTCTCTTGCATTAGCCCTACGCTTTCCTTGTTGCCTTCCTTTGTAATAGAGGAGAAAGTGTTAGTTTTGAAGTGTGGAATACAAAGTGAAATTTGCTTCTTGAAGGGAATTTTTTTTACCCAGCATAAGAGGTTTTAGAGTTACAGGAGTTGGGGTCAGATTTTCTTCAAAATGAGGACAAGTTATTTTTTCACACTCAATGACACCACCTTTCTTTTCTGGATTCTGAAAAGTATGTTAGTTTGATAAAAAGGGTTTTCTGTCAAACATGTTACAAAAAAGCCATTTGTCTATTAATGCCGCGTTATCAATAGCATGGGCATCATGAGGGGAGAAAGAAGGGGGCGCCTTGTCCCTCCCTCCTTCGCCCCACCCCCTTAAAAAAATGAGGAAAAAAATTAAAGAAGCGGGGAAGCAAACGGAAACGGAGTAAAGGGAGTGAAAATTACCGCATTGCTTGGAAATACCTCCAAAATGACTTCTTCCACTGTTGATGTCTATACCAGTTGCCTGCTGATAAATACTGTGACCCCTCATTCAAATTAGTGATGCCCTAGTCTTGGCTCAAGACGTTAGTGCTTGATAGCAGACACCGTGCATAGTGCGCCCCCAACGACTCATAATTAGACTGTGCGGAAGTAAAAACTAGTTGTGCGAGGGCGCTCTTCAACAGAAATAAAACAACTATCGATCACTGACGTCTTGGGACAAGACTAGTGATGCCCATGATCGGTAGTGCGTGGACTCGCAGTTACAATCAGTCATCTATTTTGCACTTCAAATCCTTTGCCACGGGGCCTTTTTGGTCGTTTTAATTTTTTTTATAAGGTGTGGTCTGGCGCCCTTGTGCCCATTACTTAGATTCCAGAAAAGAAATGGTCAAAACAGTGAATTTAACGGCATTTAGAAGAGGCTCCTCATGTATATTTTGATATATTTCTTACATATATCAAGATCTGTTCATATATTTTTCTACTGAAACCACGGTACCTTCTATTCAAAACTGCGCCCTCCTGTGGCGACTATATTATCAAGGGCACAAATCAGTCGCAGTGGATCAACTCGTCAAAATTAGGCCATTGTTAACATGTCTAAGTTCAAGCCTGCTCCAAGGCAACTCATTTAAGTCTGTTGCTCAATGTTGTATATCCTAGGTATGTTGTATTTTTAAGTTGGAATGGTAACAGTCTGAAAGTAACCAGACTTGTTGCAAACAAATTCTTTGTGTGCCTGGCAAAAGATCGTAATCACGCTTACGCCCTTTGCTGGGAAGCATGATCACAATAGAACAAATGTTCTTGGTAAAAGGGCGTAAGAAACACACTCTCTTTATTTAGTAAAAACCGGATAAAATTTACTACAAAATCAACACAGGCTGTGCAAACAGCAACCTGAGAACAACTTATCAAATGATTTGGGAAATGTTTACAAAGTTTGTGCAAAGAAATCCTTATTTTTCATTAAAATAAAACAGTTGCATACTTTCGTCCTTTTGCTGGGAAAAGTTTTTTTTTGCAGTGATTATGCTTGGCAGCAAAAGGGCTTTGGGCTTATGTGCTTGTTCCAGACACCCAACAAATTGTAGTGTTACTGCCTGTGGTGTTCTAGGTGCATTACAAGATAAACGGCTGGGCAGAGTCTAAGTAAGTTAGATGAGCTTAATAAAGAAGATAGTGAGCTCTTTGTCTGTAGCCTTAACCTCCAGCTTTCATTCAGAATGGTGCTATATTTTGTATGTAAAGTTTTAAACCAGCTCAACATCATGTACATCCAAGTATTGTTTACAGATTTCTGTTTTATTTTGTGATTTTTTTTCTTTGCTGTGGGTTGGCAAGGAAGTAAAGGGGGAAACAGCTTCACAGAATGAGACTATGATTTGATTGGCTTGTCCATTCAAGAGATTGCCAATGAGTGGCCAATTCGAATCAGGCATGACCAGTGGCTAAACCGTCTCACTCCATGACAGGGTGCTTTTATATCTTGGGGAAACTGGCAACTGTGTAAGGAGTAATCTTGACTCTTCAATTCACTGCTGTAAATTATGTATGGGGGTAACGTTTGGTTTATATAGTCATTACGGGATTGGGCAGAAAAAAGTAGTTATACATTTGCAGTTTATATTTTAATTTTCATTTTTAATCTCGGTGTACTTGTTTTACGTTATAAAGACACTGGTGTCAAGTTGCATATTGTTTCTGTCATGATTTTCATTTTTAGAGGTTAAAATTAGCCATGTAGCTAGCCTGTACTGCATACTTGTGGAAACATTTATCCAGATTATACATAATTGTAGGCGATGTGACAGGCTAGCTATAAGCAGGGGCGGAGCTAGGCAACTATCAGCAGGAGTAAGTACCTGGATAGATTTTCAGTGTGTCAAACCCAGAGGGTGCAGAAAATAGTGTAAAAGTTCATTTGACCTTTGACCCTCAGTGGCCCCAGATCTGCCTAACTGACACTGCTTTATACAGGAATTAGACAGAAAATGGAAGTGAAATGTTTGTTTACAAGTCACAAGAGTTTGTTTATAATTGCATAATATGAAAGGTGCTCATTGACATATTTTGTAAATTCTAATTTTAATACCGATTGAAATGGATTTGCTGCATGTAACGTATACCAGTGTAGACTAGTGCAAATGTCACAGTTCACCCCCTTTCCCTTTCATCTGAATAGATCCTTCCACCCTCCTACCCTAGAATGCGGACTTTGGATTTGACCATTATCCATGGAGGGGGTGGCCATTTTGGTGGAAGGGATATTAAACAATAAAATATGTTGTGTTATAAGCGATAAGAATTACATGGCGGTGTGGTGAAATTTTAGTAAGAGGATAAATCTGTTTTTAAGGAGTTCAAATATTTATGTAGAGTAACAAGATGCAGATAATAATGGCTCTGGTGCTGTATTTTGCACGTTCCTTTTTTTTTAAATATGCGTATAAATTTGTCCTGTCATACCTAGGCACCAAATATTTATTGCCTGTAGACTTTAGCCTTTCTTATAAATAGTACTATCATTGTCCTTTGCCTTGAACTACTGTCTTTTTTTTGCAGAAGTTTTTACATGAGTTAGAAAAGTGAGATGTTGGGCTAGTCACTGAGACTCAAGTTTTCACTCAAACGTGCGAATGAACAGCAGAGTTGCTTTTTTTTAATGTGCTTGTGCAACGGAGGAAAAACGCGACATTGCCTCAGAGGCTTTTCGCGCCTTTCTATCCAGTGCGCATCATGGAGGTCTTTTTTTCCTTAAGACACCAGCACAGCAGCGTAATCTATGAAGTGACTAGAGTTATTTTGGTATAGAGTGCAAAAATGTCAAAATATCACCAGGTGACTGTTGTGTCTACATTTACCATGGCTCACGGCGTTGTTAGATTTCCATGTACACGTGATCACGTTCCCAACACTTTTGCCAGAACCAAAATTTTGTTAACATAATCTTTCGAGGATATTTTGCAGAACTTGGTCACTAGAATAGTTAGAGCAGTGTGACTCTCTGATTTGATCGTAACTTCATGGCTCAATGTCAGAAGCAAGCCATGCACGTTATAGTTTTATGGACCACTTGGAAATATTTCTGCCACCACTATTCTATCTCAGTGCATACCATTTTATGAAGAGAAACAAAGATCCGATTCGACAATTATTTTACACCAATGAAACTTCAGCACACAAGAAATGAATTTTAAACAAAAGTCCTTAGTCAATAAAAATGTATTTGAAACACAATGGTGTTAGTTTGCTGTTAGTCTATTGTTTAGCAAAATATCAGAATATAAGCTTTACATCAAATGCAGAGTTCTACTGAGCGATTGAATTTTTGTTACTAAGGAAAATTTAACCCTAAAAGAGGCGGGGAATCTACACCCTTCCCTCAATAGTTTCTCCAGTATCATTACCAAGCAGTTTCTAACGTGCTGAGCCTGCGGGAGATTTTCTAAGTAACATCTTGCGGTCCTTCTGACATGAATTTTGTGAAAACCAGACGTGGCGTTCTGGTGCTCTGCACATTTTTTCCAACACGAGTCAACCAAAAATCTGTACTTTTTCCCACTGACCTACTCAATGCACGTGGGCCAACATGCATAAAGCCATGAACTTCAAATAACAATACATGAAAACTCTATGTCGTATTGAATTGAAACTTCACATTTGTACTGAGGATAAACATCTTTAGATCCACGCATGCTGTGTTTCAAACCGATCAGGTGTGCGACAGCCGAGTTCTCAGGGGGCTAACTGGGCTGTGAAAAGGTCAAAAAGAACCTGGCTCTTTTCGGGTTTAAAGCCCTCCTCTGCTGGCAGAAGCCAGGCAAACCTCACCCGTGATCCTTTTGGAGGGTTTTCCTAGCAAGGTTTCTGTGAAGTTTGTCTCTGGCTCTGAGGGGATTCAGCTCAAGCCTCGTCTGAAGGCCATAGAAGTACTGAAATGCATACGTGACGGGCCAACTTCAAGATGTGGCGTTGCACCCTGACGATTTTTTTTTCTCAGTGAGGTTTTTTGTTTTTCCACTTTTCACCTCTTGAGGTGATGCGCCCCGGAGCCTCTCCTGGACAGCTCGGACCTTGTGCTCGCACACCCAGGGCACGAATGCAGGGACTCGTGTATGAACAGGTCACAATCCAGGCAGAAGAGATGGTCACATGTAGAGCATTGGAACACCTGTGGAAGTAAAAAACAGAACAAAAAAAAAATCTGTGTTTTAAAAAAAGTTGACTCTATGCAGCTGTAGGCCAGGCATTCACATCCAGGAACTCTTCTACGTGGTCAAATATAGGTCTTGGTATTCTTCGAATTGAAGGATTCTTGACCAGTTAATGTCAAATTTTCTGATCCAAAAAAGCTGCTGGGGTGGGTTTTTTTTAGCTGCAAATTCTTCAACCTTGCAGTTGCACTTTGACCCAACAAAAAAATGACGCATTAGCACGCCAACCGTGAAAATGAAAAAAGAATTCTTAAATGAGTGTACAAATCTCTGTGGAACAAACAAAGAAAATTATGTGTGTTTGCACGTGATCCGGCATCAAGTGGTTAAGTCTTCAAGTACTGAAAGTAAGCACAGGAACGTTCAAAAATAGTCTGGTTTCCCTGGTGTAGTCATTACAGTGATCCGTGTTTTGACTATTGGGAATCAGACGATATGAACATTTGCATCACTGCAGCTTAACTCAACAGTTCATCGGTGGCTCCATCTTTGAAACTTGTAAATGGTCAAAATAAATTCTCTTATCCTTTAGATCGATGTCTCTGTGGCCAAAGTAATTCAGACACATTGAGCCGGTATTGTCGGTCTGAAAGCCAGAACATGAGGCCAAGGACAGAGGCAAAAACCGGAGTTGGAGAAACGACTCTTAATCTATAAGCTTTGAAATTCTACTCACTGTGTCGTCCTTCAGTTGACTTTGGCATGCAAAACAGAAGCTACGAGAGAAGAAAAAGGGAGAAAAACGGAGATTGTAAGTCAATAAAAGGTTACCATCGGTGGCTGGCTTTCCAAAAAATTCAGCCGAAAGAAAGAGGAATGCACCAGTTATACTTTGACACCTCGCAGCACTTCCCCCATGGTGATGAGAAAGTCTGGGTCTGATGCCTGATTGCCATATCCACCATTACCCTGGTGTCCATAAAGGTTTGTGCACATTCAAATGAAAATCTTTGATGTTTACTCTGTGCCATACACTCACAAAGCAGTGTTCGCTGACAGTGCTTGTGAAGCACTTTGAGACTTGGCATAATTGAAAGCACTTGTACAGCTTGATATTGTCATAATTATGACTGGCGCCCCAACCAGAACTGTGGCGCTAGGTAACAAAGCGCCCTCTCGTGTGGGCACTCGAAGGTTACTGCGTGGGAAATCGGTGTGCGTGTTTACATTCTTATACACTGAGGAAAAAATTGTCTTTTACAGGTATGTTTCAATAGATGAAAGTGTGGGCTTACAGCGGATGGTCGGTGTAGAATGTCTCCCGCTGAACCTCAACAAAGTCTGCAAGCGGGAAAAGATGATGGAAGGAGCGGGCGAGGTGGGGGGCAGAGACTAACGTCAGAGCTGAGGGAGGGAGAAGCAATTCAGATTCAGGTGACCTATGACACAGTTCATTCAATCAGCTTTTTGACTTAAAAAGTATCAAATATGCTGCGTGCAAATATCGGTCAATGACTGATATTCTGGCGGAGGAAGCAAGTTGGGCGGTGTCATGACAGTAGAAAGGGCCTTGATCACGAAAACAGTTACAAAATTGGGTCGAGGGCAACAAAGGCAGTTCCTCACCTTTACAGACAGAAAGTGACTATGAGACTGTTAAGGTTGGATAGAAAAACTGACAACCTACCACAGACTTTGCATTCGACAGGCAACTCGCAATACTTGCTTCGGCACTGGGGGCAGAAATAACCACTAGAACTGAACCCTGTGTGGTCTTTGGAATCCAGATGACTAGGAAAATGAAAAGTATAGGAAAATATGAACTGGCTGATGCAGAACGATGCAGGGCTGATGCATTCAATTTGATATTCTGAGTTGGCAACTATGTGACTTTACTTGTTGGCAGAATCAACACTGAAGTTTCTTTTTAAAGTATATTTTCTTACAAGAACACCAGCACCTTCCAATATCGGAAAAAGGCTGGTTCCACGCTCTGGAGAAATTCTCTTTGAAGTGTGTTTTTCTCTTTTTTTGTAAGTACATACCACATGCACATTGAAGGCTTCTCCGCTTTGTCCTTTTCGGTGTGCAACACATGCTGTGGAAAACCTTTTCAGGGAAAAAAAGTTATCAGAAGAGATGATGTAATCTTTTTTGTACCACAAAAAAAAATATGTCCTCAAGGTTGTAAGAAGCACTTGACCTTTTCAATATTAAAATTAATGCTTAATGAGCAGTCATTGTGACAAGTGGCTGTTCAGGTTACTATACTTACCCATTCGGATGGGAGCTGGTTCCGTATTTGCCTTCGGGAAAAAAAGGATATATCAATTAACTTTTAACATGGTACATTTGGGCCTTCTTACATGTTTCAGTTTGAAACTGGAAAACTGACAAACTTGGTATGTTGTGAAAAGAAGAAAAATCTTTCTGGACTAGTCACCGTAGCTGGCGGAGGGTTGGTGTGCTCCTTGAGTAAGTCTCTGAAGTGGGTCTCGTCCAGGGGAATTCCGTAAGTCCCTGAATAGGTAAAAAGACGAAGATAAACCACACTGACTAGTGTGAGACTGTCTCGTTTGTAAATCTGTGGCTTCATTTTTTTACTTTTTCTTTTACCTTGGGTCAGCGTGCACAGTTTCCGGCAGATTCTGATCTCCGCCGCCAGACCAATCACAGAGCAGCGAATGTTGAGATCCTTCAGTGCCTAGCAGCCCAACAAATCACAAATAATTCTCAAAAGTGCAAAGCCAGCATCAGTTAGTAAAGTACAGCTTTGATATGAGCAACAAGTGGAATATAAAACATTGCATGGCTGTTATCATCCTCAGACGGGATTTTGCAGTTTTAAAGATTTTTGAACTTGGACGTCATGCAAAAATGTAACTATAACTGACAATGACAGAATGTCACAAAAAGTCCAGGTGAGGTAAATACGTTTCTTTGATATTCCGTCATAATTGAATACCTTGATAGTAAGATGAATGTTTCCAGGATCGCATGTCACCAAACTTCCCATGACGACGAGAATTTCCCGACTGGCGTGGCTGGGCATGTGTCTGGAATTCGAACCAGGAAACGCACGACTGAGCATGATACAATGGAAATGTGGGGAGCATTCTTGATCCAGCCTAGCTAAATGCAACGAAATTCAACAGCTGTCGTGAGTCGTTGCATATTGCTGGACTTGGCAGTCAACACAAGTGGCAAGGTGCAGTTTATAGTTTTGTAATGCCAGAAGGCTGGTGTTCAATCCAATGCGCTGCCCTGCAACATAAAATCCACTGTTGCATTCTGTTGCATTTTTGTTGCATTACGCTGCATTCTTGGTTTTCTCGCTTCAGCTGTGTCAGATTTCGTTGTATTCAAGCCAGCGTATCGAGAAGGTGTGATGGGGGGTTACAGAAAGTGCACAAAACTGAATTCCTGAAAATAAAATCGGCTGTTTACCTGAGCGACAAGGCGGCCATATCCAAAGCATTCTGTAGAGATGGTTCCTTGGAGCACGGTTTGTCTTTGCATTTGTGTAAGGCAGCAATGTGTCGCTTGGGGTTCCCTGCAAAAACAAAGAAACAATAAATTCCTGAATCAACCAACAGCCATGAGTGTTTTTTTCAAATGGACCAATAAGACGTTGGTAATTGTTTGATGACTCAGCGTAAAATGGTAGTGTCTGAAATGGGCTTCCACAGCTACGTCTACGGTCGGTATCTGCTGACGTGTTTACAACCAGCAAAGAATGTGACGTAGGATTCACACGTGGCCTGGTGAGGTTTACAAAAATTATTTCCAGGGAGGAAATGAGCATTTGACAGACATGTGACAGCCATAAATAATAAAACGCTGTCCGATTAAGTATATTCTCACCTCCAAGTTCTGTGAGTTTCTCAGCTCTCATGTCGCTCGTTGTAATGAAGCCAATCTGTTCAAAGAAGTTCAGACGGACGGACAGTGTGTCGATTGAAGATGATTAAATAGAAACTGATATTTTACTTGCTACTTTAAACAAAGGATTTGTCATCAAAAGCATCCACAACACACGAGAAGAGAACTGAGCGACAAATACTGAAGCAGATTGCACTTTGTGAAAGGGGGCTAGGCTCAGGGGTGGGGCTTGGAAGCCAGAGAAATGAGGGGGGATCTCACCTGGCTGATTGGATTCTGGTCAAAATACTCTTCAACGAACATTTCCAACAACTGCAAAAAAAAAAAAAGCAAGTACATCATGGAAATCCCGATAAGCATGTGACCACAACTTTATACGGAACCATCATTTCCAAGATATCTGCTGTGATCTGAGAAGTGGCCTGTGGAATCTTCAGCTGACCTTGATAGTGCAGTGAAGACGGCTTGGTCTGAAGTCCGGATCTTCCATGGCACGCGACAGGTCAAGCACCACATACAGATGCCTCATCTGGAACAAGAAAAGTTGGGTTTTCAACAGTGTTGTGTTCAGTGAGAAACACAGTGCTCCGATTCCATACTTGACCTATTTTCAAATCAATCAATCATTCACCTAAGCTGGAATTTCTTGTAGGTGCAGATTCTTTAAATCTTAACCTTGTTTCCATCTTTGGCTTCTTGGAACTTCCACCCCCTCCCCCCGACCTTAGACCTTTAGCGCATTGGAAAGTCAATTCATAATAGAAAATTGACATGTATATTTTTATCCAGAGGCGGAAGTGTCGTCACTGAATTTGAACATTACAGACCTGAAAGTGGTCTTTATGTCTTGAGAAAAAGCCCAAGATAAACATGGGATTTAAAAGCACCTCCCCCCAAAACAAATGATCCTGAGGCATTCTCTCCAACATCTCATTCCTGTCTCCCTCACCATTCCCAGTCTGATGTTGGGTGGCCTGTCCAACAGCCGCCTCCGCTTGGCTCGGTGAATGATGTCGTCCACTGTCGTCTGAAGGGACCCATGCTCGTCCTCTCGAAGGGCCTCCCTAGAAATACATCACCGGGGGAAAGAGTGACCATCCCAAACAACTGGTCGATACAAGGAAGCTTGTCACTCACCAACACAGATATGATAGAAATGGTTGCAAATAAACAGTAGCAATACCTCTGATGTCATTTTGCCCATACGTTTGGGCCAAGATCAGTTGATTTTATCTTCTCTTTAATACATTAACAACACAATTATATTTTCTACGAATAAAACAAGAACACAAATGTGGAGAATCTTGACAACTTCTTATAGACACACTTAGGTCAAGTTCTAATACTATTCTATGGATTTGAAAATAACTCATCGTCTGATTATTCCACTTATTATTCAATATCAACAGCACTCCAGTGTTGTTATAAAGGGAACAGGTCAACTCGTACCTTGGACAACTCGTACCATCAACTCAACATAGCTTTCTCAGAGCTTATTATTTAATAAAAGAATGTTAATAGGGATGTCAAGTTGGTAAACGGTCGGGTTGTTCGACAAAGCCCTGTCACATAAACCGATGGTGCAAACGCCCGCGGCAGGCACTATGCAGAAAATCATGCTGGTGCTCAAGATCTCTTATGATTTATGAAGATTTTTTTCTTGATATGTTTGTCAATTCTGATCTTAAACACGGTGAAGAGGAAGAGCAAGAAAGGTACAACCGAATTGATAACACTAAAGGTACAAGTGGGCTTAACTCTAGATACGAGTTGGCCAAGGTACGAGTTGCCCATGGTACGAGTCATCCACGGTACAAGTTGGTTTGAAAGTGTTATAAATACGATTTAGGATACCTTTCTTATGAACTTACCATGTTTTTTCATAATCACCTTCCCAGGTGTAGGCCTTTTCATGTTCTTCATCAGCCATGATGAAATATTCCCCGGCCAAGATACACTTTTTCTAACCTCAAAGCTCCAACAAAAGCGAGCAAAGATGGTCCTGTAAAACTGAAAGGAAAGTGGTAAATGATGATCAATCATTGCTCGTGCGAAAATGCAGCAAAACTTCTCAACCAGTCAACGTGCCGTGATCTCCTGAAGTTCAACAACTTCTTGATCAAAGTCAAGTTCATCGCTTGCAATCACTAACAATACGTCAGAATTCAAACAATATTAGCACGGGCACGACAGGAATTCAATATGTCGAGGATATTTCAGCCAAAACAAACTTACCTAGCCCAGTCGATATTCTAACCTCACAATCACATGGGAGCCGCCATGTTGGTGTGTTGGACCCAACGGCTGTTTAAAAACTGATGACAAGAGGCGCTTGCTGCGGCATGCCGGCGGCCGTTTTTATAGGTCGTGACTTCGTGTTGTAATTTAGACTAGTAGTAGCCACAAAAATACTCGATTCGAAACCCGACCTTTGTTTTATTTCATTTTTAAATTCTAATGATATGGGAATATTTGGCATAAAAATAATTCCCAATGAATGCTTGAAAATCCACAAACACAACCGCAGAATGAGAAAGCGACATAGACCTGGAGGAGAGGGCGTAGCTCAAAAACGTTTTATTTCATGTACTTCTTTGTTTGTTTCACTGATAGTTTGGAATGATACTGAAATTTGAGCATGTTCTGCCAAACGCTGAACATCTTTGTTTCGTTATCATTATTGTTTGATTTACTTTTATCGATATATTTTTTTCCAACGGACAAGAAGTGTGGGGTACTTGCTCCAAATGAACAGAGGGAGACCAACCACTTAAATGAATGGCCCCGTATTTAAATATTCATGAGGCGTCTGAGGTCATGCGCGAATTCGCTGGTCTAGAGTCTAGAGAGATCCCCATTGAAAAACTACGACTGCCTGTGATAATGTGTGCTGTACTCGCAAAAGAATGTGGTGATCGGAGGTAAATTTTCTTGGAAGCTGGACTGGGATAATTTAGCCGATTTTCGGCTCTCCCAACATGGAGGAGACAAAAATCATTTACCACATAGATGATGAGGACACCCCGTACCTTGTGAAATTACCAATTCCTGCGGACCAAGTGACTTTAGGCGATTTCAAGAATGTTCTCAACCGGCCAAACTACAAATTCTTCTTCAAATCTATGGACGATGATTTCGGGTGAGTACGAATTTGTGAGTACAATATGACCGGAAGGCGTGTGGAATTTTCAGTTTTTCTTCGCTGATTGCCGCTTGACTTCAATTTTCTACCCGATGTGGTGATCTTAAATACTTTTAGATGCCCTGGGTGGTCTTAAAGATGGAAGTATGGGGCATATCAGCAAGAAATCAGCCCTCGATAGCCAGGATTTGGGTGATGAACTGATGAAAGTGGCCATATTTTTCTGTCCAAACAACGCGCTGGCTGCGCAGACTAGACCTGGTCCTATGGCATGCCGTGGTCATTATGTCTCGTCTGCTGCTGTGCTGCAGTGCAATCCAAGAACGTCCTTAGTTCTAGTTGTGATCATGTCACGTTGTCATGTATCTCAGTTCTTGTCTTTGCATTCAATATTTTTTGCCCTTCTGAACAAATTGTGTCTTGGTATTGATGCAAATTACACTCTAGACTTTGTCATGTTTGTGACTTTTTTGGGAGGAACCCATATCAACTGGTATAAATTCGGGGCCTACTTCATTAAAAAAATGTAACAAGCCCTAGTAAGGGAAAACTCGTGGCTCACTTGTTTGTTCATGGGCTAGGCCTGTGTAACTCTGATGAAAACATGGATGTGTTCAAGAAATGTAGATTTTGGTCTTTTTGAAATGTTAAAATTTGTTTCTAAATTTCTCTCGCAGATTCTTTGAAAAAAGTTGTGAACCGATCATGGCAAACTGCACTTTGTCGACAACATTTTGTCTCAATACTGTTCACATTTCTTAAAATTAAGGCAGGAAAACACTTCTGTTGTTCACAGCTAGCTTGTAAAGAAATGCATGTATCTTGTGGGTCTTTCTGTTGTCTTAAACTTTAGAATTTTACAAACCTTACCAAAGCTCAATTCTTGTTGAGCCATACATAGAATGTTCATTAATCTTTTTGACAAATTGTTTATTATCATGGAAGATGTTCGGTTTGCCTGATGAGTGATAGCATGTGTTACGCTACATGACTTGTTCTGAATATCTGGAGGAACAAATGATCAATTTGCATGACCTCGGGGAAATTTCTTGAAGCAGAGTTCAATTTTCAGGGGCCATTGGCTCATAAAAACTGTAAGCAGAATATGTTATTGTCGGCCCAACGGTCGAATATAAATGCACGTTGAAATCATCACTTTTAGACCCAGGTAGTTTTGCTAGACCCTCTCTGAGCCTCATAAAACTTAGAAGCCAGTGAAGCCCACAGGATTGCAATTCCAAATCTCAAAGGAGTAGTGGCCGAGTGCTGCATAATTTGTAACTGTGTTCTAATATTTTTCCTTCGGGTAAATTACTGTCAATTTCGTACATCTCATACGAAGCACATTGATGAATGTACAGTGTGCACCAGTCCATTCATGTTCATGTATTGGTTTAGTGCAAGGCAGTTCTAGTTACATACATGTACCACGTGTCTCACACACAATAGCGCATGCTCATGACACAAAAGGACAACTTTCATTGTCAACCTACTGCAGTCATTTCAAAATGCAGTCAGTTAAAACTATATCCAGCAAGAAATGAGACAGAGGCATACCTCCCCCCCCCCGACATGTCCAATTCCTATACTTACTAGTTTTCTAACACATCCCCTATGTTTGAAAAAAATTCCCCAGATTCCAGTGAAACAATGACCAACATAAAGGCGGGGGGGAGGGAGTTCTTTTCCTCTCATACATGTATGTATCTTGCTTCATATGGTTAAAAGGTTAAAAGCATAGCAGGTGTAGCTTTAGATTTCTAAAGAATGCTGAACCAGAAGATGTAAGCTGGAAATAAACAATGGACCAGTTACAAGGCATTGATGTCCTCAGGCTTAAAGAGGATTAGTGGGAATGAGGGAGGTGCTTAAAAGAATTAAGAATGATGGACAGGGGGTCAAGGGTCAGGTACCCACAATCAGTCAGATTGGATGTTGGCTTGCGTGCTGGGCCCAATATCATGGCGCTGCTTACCACAAGCTTACTGCGAACGTATTTCACGGGTTAGCAAGGAATTTTGGCTCGTGGGCATGTGTATATCCCGTAACTAAGGATTCTGTACTTAAAGGGTTAACGCAGAATTTTTCTGCTTGCGCGGTTAGCGCAGAATGGAGATGGTAAGAGCGGAATTCTGTGGTAAGCAGCGCCGTGAAATTGGGCCCCGATTATTTTCCAGTTCTTGTGTAGATGGAACAGGTTTAGAGTCATATAACCTCCCATCATGGTTGTACACATAGAATTTCCCGTTAATACTGTTGCGTGCCCTGAATTAAATACATGTACTAGAAAGCCGCCAACTTGGTACATGTACTTAATTGGGCCCAGAATTGTACATGGGTACTGGAACAGGGTTAGAAGCTAGTCTTGGTACATGACATACCGATAGGACAATGTTTGTGTTTTCTACTTGTAGCAGGGATCTGAAGTTAATGGTGTCCTGAGTTAAGATTGTGTCAAGATGTGCTGACAGTGTATCCTTCACATATCTCAACTTCCTGTAGTTGTTTATTTGATAGGACTGACCAGCATGCAAGCACATCTTGTGACCCCCTTGGTAATTTATGGTGATCTTATCTGTACAGGTTTATGTACTGCACTTCAAGCAGTAGGTGTTGTTCTTCAATGCTGCAGGCTATGCTTAGACCTGTGAGTTAGCAATCTGTGAATCATATGGTAAATCATTTGGTGTAGTGGAGACTAGTCGTTGTCTTGGTACTGGTACATTTGCTCGTGTACATGTATTTACATGTATTGTGAAACTGCACAAACCGGTACATGATACACGTTGTACACATGTACCTGTACTTTTTAATATGGCTGCTCTTATATTAAAACCAGGCTACATTATGTCCAGTATCCCAAGCATTGCTCAACTGTACATACCAAACTGAATGCACATTTTCCATATTGAAAAAGTCAAATTTCCAAACAATGTGCGGAGTGATTTCATTCTCTGTAGAACGGTCATTGTTGCCTTTGTAGTTTAACATACTAGCCTTACCTTTTTAGTGGTGTGTATGTATTTGTGTAATGAATGTGCGGATTACAGAGAAATGTCAGTTATCTAGATGTTAACCTATCTCTTCCAGTCATTACCACAGTCAGTCGCTGTAACTTCTTATTCTATCAAACATGTCAGTCTGTAGAATGACACACATTTTAGTCTATCAGCTCGAGGCTGTATGTCGCCCGCGCCTCAGTTTGTGACCTGTCACATTGACTTCTCCATGAACTGCCTTCCATTCCAACACAGTCATACCTACATCTCTCAGCTACTGGGAATGTGCCGCTCAGTGGAGATATTTATGGGGACTTTGCAAGTAGCTGAACTATTTCCTATAAAGTAATTGATGGCCGGCTATTAAATGCTGGCGGACTTCCTGCAGAAGCCTGTTTGAAGTTTCCAGGGTTCCACTGGTCTCGCCTGACCTACATTGTAATGCAGGAGGAGGTTCTGTGAGTCTGTGACCAGACCAAGCTGAGCCAGGATCAAACCTCGGTGACCTCAGCTTTACACTTTTGAACTTCAGCCTGCCATTAATTTTCACATCAAACGCTGTGCCTTTTTATGTTAAACAATGTTATGTTAATGTTATGCCTTAATTCCTAGACGGAATAGTGTCTGGCTGGCTTAAGGAATTTGGACAACTTGTGTTTTGCAGTTAACTTATGAACGAATTTCCTTATCAAACAGTGTGTTTAATTTCTGGTACAGCTGGTATTGTATCCACTTTTTCCCCCCTAGACACTTATTGCATGTAGTTTGCAGCTTTACGTTCTAAAGTTGTTTACGTACACCGTGAGCTCGAACGATTTTCAGTTGGTTGGCCGGTGCACAGTAATGGATTTTGAGTATTTAGAAAGCTCCCAGTCAAAATTGGACTAGGAGTAAGGGTTATAAATCTGGATTTGGACCCCTTTTATCAATTTACTGCAGACTGGTGATCCATTTCCCACATCCGTCCTATCGTTAATATCGCCCATTGGTGCAGTCTGCGTACCTTGGACTTGAAATTTTGTGATTTTACAGTGGATGACTGTGCTTTCTTTTGCACTGATTAATTTGAAAGACTGAGACTATTTTTGGCAACTGTTACTTTCATAATTCTTGTGACGCCATGAATTGAAATTCAGAAACTGAAATTTTTTAACGCTTTTGCTGTTTTGTTTTGTTTGTTTGTTTTCCCCCCAGTGTTGTCAAAGAAGAAATAGTAGAAGATGAGGCGAAACTGCCCTGCTTCAATGGCCGTGTGGTGTCCTGGGTAAGAATGCTCAAGTTCATCTTTACAACTATTCTAACAAGTGCCTTCCCCCCCTCCCAGTTGTTATAGCTTGGTAATTGAGATAAGTTGTGTTTATTTAAGTGTGGAATGAAACCCAATACTGTTTTACAGCTTTAAGCTACATGTACATGTAGTGTGACAACATTATATTTCATACCAGTTAGAATTTTGTACCCGTGTGAAAAAAGTTTTGCACATGTTTAATGTTGTCTGGGCAAGAATATAAATTCTTCTGTGAAACCTTGTCAGTGTGAAACTGAAAGAACGGACTAGGACAAAATTCTCTGAAAATATTTCAGTAACTTAGGTCGCAATTGGAAAATAATTTTCTTCAAAAGAGAGTCCCTGGAATAATAGTGAGTTGAAAGGCGAGGAAAGAACAGCTTAGCTAACCCGACTCTCCAGGTTGGGGTTAAACATGTCGTCACGTCCCACCTGCCTAGTACTTGTGTCCTACTAGGAGTATCTTGAAAACTGTACAAGAAACAGTCTTCATAACTGGGTGTCGTAGACATTTCAACCCTTAACATCTCTTGAATCAATCAATCTACCGACAAATGTATTTTTCAGTACACGCTGCCAAGGTACCCGGTGCAGCAATTCTCTCGTCCAATTGATCCTCAGAATTTTTCATTTGTCTCCCCCCATGATGCGGATCGCTCGGTCAGGACAGCGGGGGAGACTGATGCCAAATTAATTTCCAGCAGGAGCGGAGAGTGTAAATGACCAGTTGGGGTCTCTCTCTCTCTCTCTCTCTCTCTCTCTCTCTCTCTCTCTCTCTCTCTCATTCATTCTCTCATCTTCCTTGGTGGGATTGTCATTCACTGATGGACTGTACTGCCTCTTGTCCTGATGGACAAAAATGGATAAACATGGTGGGGGAAGTCAAGGCACAAGTCAGATGTGATCATGGAAACAGTGTTTTAGCTAGGATTTGAAAAGTGGGAGGGCACATTGAAAAACAGGGAGTGTAGTCTTGTTAGAGTCCAAAATTTGTGCACGAACCTGAAACACGTAACACGAGTGCGCAGCGCGAAGTCCCTTACGGCCATGATCCAAGGCCTGCGTAAGGGCCCTGGAAGCTCTGCCTATTTTAGATTCTCGCTGGTGGTCTATGATGAATTTCTGACATTTTTTCTGAGAGTTATGCCTTTTCAAACAAAAAACCCAGCCTTCAGAAAAAAATAGATTGTAAAAACTCTGTGCAGTTGTTGTGCAACAAAGAAGTGAATAATGGCAAACACCTTTGAACAGATTTCGCATTACCACTTTAATTTGTTTTTGAAAAAGGGTATGCAGGTAATAATGCAGGTCAGTACTTGACAGACGTTTGTCTGCCTTTTGGTTTGCAATACAGTACATTCAGATTATTATGTGATAAGCAAACAAAAATAAATAGTGATATGAAATGAATTCCAGTATTCCTACATACATGTTTCCTTGGGCAATTTGGCTAAGAACAAGCACATTGAGTACAAAACTCGAATAAATGAAAAAATATGTCATACAGGCGTAGTACGTGAACATACATGTATGCACACTGTACATGCACACATGTACACCACAGGCATGAACATGGCATCGGAAGAATTCCACAATTTTTTTTCCATCGTTAAGGTAGAAGAACCAAAACAAGCTTTATGCTGATTATTGACAATAACAAAGAAGAAAGAAATTCTGTTAGTTTTGTTTCATTCTGATGATATAGTGAGCACGCAGCACAAGCCAGGAAACGATTATGTCAACTTGGTCCCCATGGACTACCTCGTGTGAGAGTGGGCGCAATATGGCAGCTAATAATTGCCATGGGAATGAGGTTGATTACATGTACGATCGATTGCTGGTGAACAAGTATGGCTCCCTGTATTTATTTTGTTACAAATTCATAGACACGGTGCTGAAGTTCATTATTTGTAAATAAGGGAACCTGCCTACCGGCGTTGATACATTCGAACCAAACATCCAAACTGTAGTCCCAGCATACACGTGCTTTACTGCAGCGTATTTTCTATTTTGGACTTGCTTGATGGGGCTGGGAAAAAAACTGAATTTTAACTCAGATTATAAAATGGAATATAATTGTACTGTTGATCCCACTAGCATTGGAACTTAATTACCAAATATCAGAGGGTGTCCATTTAAAATTCTTGGGGGGTGGGGAGGGCTTTTTGGTACACAACTCGGTACAGTCCTCGAGGCTCTCTATACCCATGTAAAGGTCTCCGTTGTACCTGCTTTCCCTCTAAAAATGGACCTGTCAAAGACCTTCACAGGCAGTGAAAGTGCCCAGCCCATACAGAGGGCAGCCAGTGTCTGTTTGTTGGTTCTGCAGCATTGATTGTTTGTCTGTGTCCGACCCTGACCATCCCCCTACCCCATGATATCTGTAAAAGACATGTGTGAATGTGTAATCACCCGGCCTCCCTGCGTGAGTGTACTCCTCTGGCTGAATTCAAGATGGCCGCTATCATCGCCATGAGTCAGTGTTGAAGCATTAGTCACAGAGAAGAGAAGGGATTTTTGTTTTTATCAGTGCTCAAGATTTACATGTAAAACGGTCAACAGCCATTGACCGTTGAACCTACATGTACGTCTGTTTGTTGTTGTGTCTTATGAGGTACAGTACTTCATCATCCAACATCGATTTCTCTACCCTGCGGGATTTGCAATATGCAACTTGTGTGTACTATGGATTATGCAACTGTTCTTGGAATGTGGATGCTCTCAAGAAAAATGTAAAGGCTCGTTGGCTGGCTTACCGTACATGTCTAGTTCAACCAAATTTTTCTGTTGATCGGGTCAGGTTTATTTTACAAGAATGCATGCCATTGTGCATTGCTGACATTTTAGCAAAAGAGCAATTTACACATGTAATGTGGAGACCGACTTGTTACACATACACATGACATACATGTCCACATGTACCGGTACATGTGGAAAAAGTTGGTGTTCCTTTTAATGTTGATTGGCCTGTGGTCTGTTTTCTTGGGGGAAAAAATCAACTTGGGAGGAAAAAAGTTTAAAATACTGCTTAGCAGAAATAACATGACAAACTTGCCTCTTTTAATTAATAAAAAATTCTGAGTTTGCAAGTATCGGTAACACACCTGCAGGATTACGTATACACTGTACATGTACGTGTCAACTGCACAGGTACAAACTGAGTGGATTCAATTTATGTGCCTCATGGAAATATTAGGCCGTATATACAGCAGGTGTAGCGGTATTGTACAGCACAGATTAGGCCTGCATGTCTATGTGCTCTGGCAATTCAGTCGTGAGCCAAATGAATCATCTGATACCGTACGTCAAGCTGTGAATGAATGTGCTGAAGGCTTTACAAAGCTGCTTGCTTTGACGGTATGTACTTGTGCGTGTACGCCGATAAGGACGTTACAAAAGGAATAGGATAATGTTGCAAAAAATACGGGGGATCTCTGCGGTCATGTCTAATATCTGCGTCTGTGGAGTTATTGTTTGCTCTTCTTTTTTCGGGGGGGGGGACGGAGGCGGGTGAGTTCATCCATCGTGTGATTGTCATTTCGGGTTTAATTGCCGCAGCCTTTTTCATGGCTATTATATTTGCATTTCAATGCTTGCTTGACCAGGTTCAAGTTAAGGGAAAAAGTACTGGATTTTTTTTATACGTGTATATAGATTATGATCAATGAGTTTGTTCTGTAGGTGGCAGAGTCAGAGCGTGGCAGTCGCGCTGGCTTTTTGTGTGTGTGCCCATTCATGACCGACCGCCCATTCTGTCGGTCCGCTGATAAAGCTTTGGGGGTAGTAACACTGACACTTGGCCAACAAACAAATGCACGCGATAAAGAAGTTTCCAATGAAACCAATTATGGAGTAATACAGGGCACTTAGCACGACATTGTCGATCGGATTAAGAATACGTGTGTAAAGTTCATAACTTCCTCTTGTGGACAGATCTGGGCCCAGAGTTGTAGCAAACACAGTAAGCACCAGAAATTGGGGAAAAATGGACTTACACTGGTACAAAATAACTCAGTCTTTTTTCCTTTTTTGGGGGGGGGTTGCAATCACCAGTTATAATATCAAAAAATTATGATTTTTGTTACATTCAGCATGGTTCTAAAATACAATGAAAACAATTAAGTTACCCTTTCTCCCGAGCAAAGAGGAGCACACAACTGCCAAAAATTAAACCACGTTTGCCTGCATGCATTGTTAATACACTGGGCTTGTGGACTACGGTACTCACTTCCCAACCTTCTGGTTTTATCGGGATCAGGTGCATGCAAAGAAAGAGTCCACAGAGGGTTAAAATTGAGCCGTGCAGTTTTCAGCCCTACAAAGAGGCCTTCGTGAGCTTCCAACATACATGCAGTAGATTTGGTGGGTACCTGACAATGCTCACATCTGCACACGTACACCTACATGTACACAAGCAGGCATGCCTTGGGGTTTATATTACACAGGTAGGCCTACCATTTTTGTAATGCACAGTTTGTTTCAGTAGACCAGAATTAGACTAGAGGATGCAGTGCGGACTTTGCGCTGAGCCACCTGGGCGGGAACCCATGAACCCTTCCTCTATTGAGGAAAGCACTCCAAGACACCAGCTGTGATGCTTAATTATAAATAATGTGGCGGCCATCTTGAATTGAAAGCGAGGTCAAATTTTCATATCTGGAACCCAAGAGTAAAAGTACACGTAACTGCAAGAAACTAAATGTTTATCGCAAATTAATGACAGTTATCATGTAAAATAATCTAGGATATGTGATAAATTGTATTTAATTTAAGCCACATTTTAAAAAACACACCTGAAATACAGTGTAGAGGCCTGGAATCCAAAATGGTCTGGCACCAACAGATTACATGTACATTGTGTATGGTACATTCAAGGAGCACACATTGAAAATGGTTTCCCTGTTGTAGAGTCTATTCGTCTGGCATCTTCTATTCATGTTCATGTAACAGTCTTGACCTGTATTTCCAAGGATGGA